TGTGGCAAAGCAGGGCTTATCCGCAGTACTGATCCTGCTAACTGGTACCTGTGGCAAGGAACATGCCAGAGAAGTGCACTTTTTTTATACAGACCCCATAGTGGGGGAAGAATCTCTGTGCTTTTGAGCCTTAGGGTGCTCTGAAGGAGCCGTGGGTGAAGCAGAGTCTGCAGGCCACAGCGCTTTATCAATCAGGAATATGCGTAATCGCATCTCCCTATCTCGACAATCTCTAGCCATGAGTTTGAACAATGTGGGCACTTCTGAGGCACATAGGCTTCTCCAAGGCATCTGATACATGCTGAGTGTCCGTCTGACTCTGGAATGGCCTAGCAACATGTGTCACATTTTTTAAAACTTGGAGAAGCCAGCATTGTAGGAGGGAAACTATCAGGAGTTCACCTCAATCTGTGTAACCTCAGTCTTTTCTTCTTGTTTCTCTTTCTTCCCCCGCCTCCCTCCCCAGAAAAGCAGCGAAAGCTGCAAACGGTTTTTTTTTTAAATGAGTAACTATAAACTAACTAACCACTATGCTATGAACTATAAACTCTGTACAGAAATAGTAAACTAACTAACTAACAGAACTCTTAATTTCATGATCAATAGTTGAGGAGAAGAGCTCGCTCCATCTGCGACCGAGGGTGGCACAGAAGGAACTGGTGGGAGCCTGACTGCGTTCATGAAAGAAATGGTGCATCGCGAGATGCTGACCGCACATGCGGTCCAGCTGACTACTGCTGTTGAAGACTCCAATCTGCAGCACCGAGATGAGACTGCCACCTCCAGTTGAACATCAGAGACATTACTTGACGAAGAACTTCATCTTTTGTCTCTCTCAAATGCTTGTTCCTCTTCACTTTTAGACAGCATGTAGATAGATGACTTAGTCATATTGATTGCCATTTGATGGTTGATCTGTGCACTTTTCCTTTATTTTTAAATTTGGTTTTAACATATTTTCATAAATACTTAATGCCAAAATAATAGGAAGGAGGTGGAAGTGGAGACGAGTCCTCCTCACAGCCCAAATCTATCATTAGAAAAAAAATCCAGTGACGTGACTCTGCACTGTGCTAGTTTTTGGTCTAAACTAACTCCTAAATTGATGTGTTACTGGTCTTCAGTGAAGGTTGCAGTGGAGCTATATTATCAAGTTTCAAATGATCCACTCTACTCTACCATCTCCTGTCAAATCCCTACATATTTGCACCTAGCAAACTCTCCTCAAAAAGAATTCTGGGTTAGAGCCCTGCAGTAAAACTGGGATCCCGCAGGTCCCACATGACCTGCTTCCACAAAAGCAGAGGCACATAAAATGTACTTTGTTGCAAGCAAGACTGGGGGGAGGGGACCCACAGATTGTGGTAATTTGGGGGACAACACTAAATCTTTCATCTGTTTGTCATAAATAGAATTTCAGGAATGTACAGCAAGATTTCCCTTTATTTAACTAAAGGTTTAATACTTAAAGGTAAGCAAGAATAGAAAAAGATTTGATGTCTATTATAAGAGGAGTTATACAAGTATTTTTATGTGGTTTAAGCAAGATTTGTTTAATTTCTTTAGTGTTAAAAATTGTGTGTGAATTCCGTGTGGGTGAGTGGGCGTATTAACAAAATTAACATTGTAGGGTTTGGTGGGGGGATGGTTGTAGGATGAGGGAATCTCTCTCTTGCAAGATTTGAGGGATCTAAGATTTTTGCAAGTGTGTGTGTGGGATAAAATGCAAGAAACAATGCAGGAGCTCTTCCTTTATGATCAAAACCTTTCATACTTCTGGAACACTGGAGGATTTCTCTCTCTTTCAGACCCACATCAAGGAGACATGTCCTTCCATAAGGGTGCCGCTAGTCAGCAGTGCTATTTTGGGATACTTTGAGTATGCTGAAATAGCATTTTACGCATCTTGACAGCACACCCATTTGTCACACTACCGAATTGGAGGGAAGCAGCCAGATCGCTGCTGCACCCCTAGGTGGGGGTGTTGGCCCCAGAAATTGGTATAAAAGGGAGCCATGTGGGGTATTGAATGGAAGCTTATTGTTTGCTGATCTTATGTACGCTATTTATGTGAGTGTATAATGTCTGTGTGGGTAGGTAGGAATCTGTAATCTGTGTGGAAGCTGAATATTTCTCTGAATGTGGTTAAGCATTGCTATGGACAGGCTGATTAGCCAGGCCCTGTAGGACAATGGCACTTGATGGGCCAAGGACACACCCAAAGAATGGGGCTGTCACCTGAGAGCAGCCAGCAGGAAACACAGAGATTGGCCTCTGACCAGGTGACCTGCTGCATACAAGAAGAGGCCAGGAAGGAGGTATAAAGAGGCCATGTGGTCGATGCCATTTTGTCTTCAGCTCAGCACTTCATCCCAGAGGCATCATTGCAGGGATTGAAGGGCCCGAAAGACCTGTGGACCCATTCTGATCTTAGGATGTGCAATAAGAACTTTTAAACCAGCAGCTGCAACATCTCTGCTAGAGCCTGCATCGAGAACTGGGAGATTCGGTGCATGTAACGTACTGTACTTTAATAACCTGACTCTCATGCTTTTCTTTCTTGTTTTAATAAACCTTTAGTTGTTAGATGCTAAAGGATTGGCCCAGCGTGATTTGTGGGTAAGGTCCAAAGGATAAATTGGCCAGAGATCTGTGGCTGGTTTCCTGGAACCGGACAGTACTTGTTCGGGGTAGGTGGGATTGGGTGCTAGGACCCCCCACCTGTGTATGAGGTCTGGGGCCATCTGGGGCACGGATATTGCTGGGGTGTCGGAGGGGTTTTGCTCGGGAGGCTTCAGGCAGGTTGCTGAAGCGCTCTGTGGGACTGGTTTGTGGCCTGTTTGGAGAGGTCACCAGTCTGGGGGCTGTAAGGAGCCCCGGATTTGAGCAATTCGCCCTGAGCGGGCGCCCTCAGCTGTGCCCAGACACGGCCCGGTCCGTCACACCGTTATTTTGAGATAGCTTTTGAAATAATGAGTGCACTATTCTTACATCCCTGTAAACCTCATTCCAAGAGGATTAAGGGATATTTCAGAATAGTCCTCTATTCCAAAATTTGGTGTTGTGTGGACAGCGCAAAATTTCAGAATAAGCTATTTCAAAATTAACTCAAAATAAGCACGTAATTTGTGTAGTTCAAATTGCAGAGCTTATTTCAAGCTAAGGGTTCAGTGTAGATGCACCCTCTGTGGGATACTGGATTCAGCAAAAATTTTAAAAACCAAGTTGTTAAATCAAAACAATTTGTTCTTTCATAATGCAGATAACACCCACATGTTACAATCAAATTTAAAATATAAAGACTTTTGCTGCTTTAGTGCTTCATGTTTTACACTTTCTTTGACCATTTTCCAAAAACACATGCATGGTGGGCATTATTTGCTCTATGAACTGCTTCCATATTAGACTGCAATTTCCAACCATTCTAGATGCAGAGCAGGCGTAGAGTCAGATTGTGAGAGTGATTTCAGAGCAGATCATTTCAGCAGATAGTAAAAATGAGCAATTGTGAATAAATGCTGTGAATGCTTTCAGCATTAGTCTGGCTCACTTGCATAATGACAAATGCCCTGATGTACTTATTTTGGGTGCAATCATCCAAGCGAACATTCTACAATGTAAGTACCAAACATCTTGTCCTTATTATCATTATTATTGATTGGCAGTGTTGTATAGCTGTGATATATGGACAACTCTATATGAAAATTAACTTCTTTCACATCTTTACAGGAAAATGCAATCAACTTCTAAGATATATAGAGATTAAGATAAAATGAACATAGAATCGAAATAAATAATGCACTAGAAACTTTATTTGCAGTGTGAAAACACTACTTATAGCAGCTCTGCTTTCTGACATTTAGTTGATTGCTATCTACTAAACTAAAGACACACTCAGAGTCTCTGCACTCTAGCCATCAAGCAACACAGTAGAATTTGGTTGAACGATTTCTTCAAGTATACGTTGCAAGCACACAGAATGTTTCTATTTCTGGAATGCCCACAGGTATATCATTCCTGAATATACCTTGATTGTCCTTAAATATGAATCTGTTGCATAAAGTGATTGCAACTGTGCTACGTATTATATAAATTTTCTAAATATGTACTTACTAGCACATGTATCCACCATTGCTCGGGTCTTTAATTGGACTAAGTTTTTATTTAAATAAAATAAAAATGCACATGCTTTATTTCAATTATTGTATTTTTTTAAAAATGAAGGAAAATGAAGACTGGAGTGAGGGTTTGGGATAAGGAGAGGCAGGGGGTTAGTGGCTTAGGGCAGAGGATTGGGAGATGTGGGAGGGCTCAAGGCAGGGGGTGGGGGACTCAGGGCAGGTAGACGGGTACAGAAGCCAAGGCAGGTGGGAAGTACAGGACACAGGGCAGGGGGCTGAGGACAGGGGGCTGGGAGATGGGGAGGGGCTTACCAGGGCCACCCATGGTGGCAAGGGTGGTGCTGCTCCAGTGGCGACTCCTCCCAGGGTATGGAGCAGTGCTCCTCTGCCAGCGGATCCCCTAGGTGCCTTACCTACAGTCTGTCTGAGGGGAAAATGCTCTGGAAGCTGCTGCCTTCTCCAACGCCCCACCCCATAGCCGGCAGGCTGTCTGGGTGGGTCCTGGCTCCAGGGGCGTCGCCCGCTCCATTGCCCCACCACAGCCTGCCAGCTGTTGGGGGAGCCATCCCTCCTCTATGTGCATTTCACTTTTGCATTCTTCCTCTCTCTGCCCTCTCCCTTTCCATGTATGGAAAATAGTCCCATTCCCAGAAAGTCCTATTTTCCGGGTACAACCAAACCCTAACCTTGGTTTAACTTAGGGTAAGAGGAAGTTGCATACCAAATTTGGTGATCCTATCTCTTATGGTTTAGGAGGAGTTCTTGAACAAACAGACTCAGACAGACTGTCTCATAGAAGACACACTCTAAAATATATATATTCTTCAGCATAAAAAAATCTCCATTTCCATCTTGAAATTTTTTTTAAAATGTACCTACCCAAGTCTTTTTCTAGTCAAATATCCCCTTATCCATCTTTGAACAATCACAACTGGTGAATGATGAGCTAGAATGTGATTGATTTTTGAAATGATGTCTTTGACCACATTTATATTCTCCTCAACGATTGCTTCCTGAATGAATTCAATTGAAAATGTTGAATATCATGCCTTAAAATCTAAACTTCTCTAATAAATAATTTGAAACAATGTATTTAAAATTATTATTTTAATTTTCCTTTAATATCTAAAGATTGAAAGAGAAGAGCAAGGCCTTTTGCTTAAAAATTTTTTAAAACAAGCAGAATAAGACTATCAATTTTATTGAAACAGAGCTGAGAAATCATTTATAACCCAAAGCTGAGTCAGTACCCAACGTCCCATATAAAATAAACAGCTGTCAGTGAGACTATTCTGCCCGTTGTAGAAATTTCATTCATTTTAAGTTACAAAAAAGCCATTTAGCACTCTGAACATAAAAATAACCCTGGACTATTATATTATTATTGTTACAGTAGTACAATTAAAAATACTGTTTTCTTTCTTATAACATCTGAATAACTGAACAGATTATAAGGAATTATGAAAATGAGAATACAGTTTGATTATAAAATACAATAAAAAGTAATATAAAAGAAGACATAGCTCACTTTTCTATAGTGTTACATTAAGCCTAAAATGAACAAATATATTTTTCATTTTTCACAAAATATTGTGTCTTCTCAGCTACCAGGTCTATCTACTGACTTGTTTATGCCTAAAACTACACAGAGCTGGACTAAAATACAGGGTGCTATTTTAAACAGCCTGCAGCAGTTACAAACATTAAAATTCAGAAAATGTTAATCAAGTCAAAGATATCTTCAGCAGTTACTCAAATGAACTGACAAAATTGGTTGTTTAATAGAGGTGGTTGTCTACCATAGGTAGAGTAGAATTATACATAGTACATTTTGATATGCTTAGAAGAGTTCTCTTACATCAAAAGATGCCTTATATGATTGGGTTTCAATCACATTTCAATATAAAAATACATGGCTTTGTTATAATATCCTAGCATCATTTGGAAAATATGATAGGAGATAATATTTTCAGTGTCTACCCTGCCTCAAAAATAGAGTTGGTTCCTAATTTAAAGCCCAATACTCCAGCTATTACTATGTGTATAGTACCAATAAAACCAAGTGGTCTCACCCCTTTTAGTAGTTTGGGGTTTGAAAGGTTAATTTTTCTACTGTAAACCATCCCAAGAATCTATTAAGTTAACTGCACAAATCTTTTGTCATTATAACCCTTTCTTACCATCTTCAGTAAGATACAGTTTCCATTAAAATACTCCCACAAAGAGAAAAGGGAAAATAACATTATTTAGGGGAGTTTTCCTAATGTCTATGTTTACTGAATGCTTTTTCTCAAGTTATATTAATACTTTTAAATTTCTCAGATTGTCATTATTCAAATATATTTAGTCACCTTTGGACTATTAGAACTTGAGAAACACAGGATTTACAGGCACCAAAAATACCTCTCAAGTCCTTTCTTCTTAGGGCAAAGCGTGTGTTTTCAAAAACCACTTTAATAGCATACAGTATATAAATTTTCTTTAAAGTTCTAAACTTTATTTTTGACAAAAAAATGGTAGGAAAACTAGATCTATTTTATTTTAATAGGAGTTATGCATATCTCTTATCAACTCAGCTCAAAGTTACAACTCGTTTCTAGTGTAGTGTAATGAAAATATTCATGCTTCTAGTTGCGTTTAATATGTTTGTCTTCTATTGCAAAAATCCATCTCTAATTGATGGAGGCTAGGAAGAAATATCCAGGCACCATCTATTACTGGCTGTTGTCAGAAAAAGAGAATACTAAACTACATGGTCTAATGGTCTGATGCACTATCTCAATACCTATTTTCACAAAATGAGAGGTGTGTGCATGCTCCATAGCAGCAGTGTATGAGAACAAAATATAATATTTGGATTCAGATAAGAATCTTAAATCAACCCCAGTTCAAGGTTGTTCAGAGAAAGGGTTTTTGCAGCCCTGCTGCTTAATATATTAAGATATTTTCTTTTCTTTTTTGTGATACAGCAGATTGCTCTATTGGTAAATGATATTGAAGTTTTTGCATCATATAATACAGGATTATTACATTTCTGCATCTGAGATTTATTTTGTGATGTCAGTGTTGTGGTATTCCAAGAATGACAAATTTTTGTAACACAATTTTTCAATTACTTTTCCAGTAAGAATGTCAAAGAACTATCCTTTTAAACTATGATACACACTACAGAGAGAAAGATGAGTAATTGATTATAGACGGTCTCTGGAAATTGTCTGTATAAAGCAGCAGATTTATTTCAATGGCATATGGTTCAATAAAATTAAAACTCATTTACAAAACATTAGTTATCAATTTAAGAAGACATTAGCTTGGATGAATGAGTTTCTGACATGGTGCAGTTATTATCCAAAGCTATCAAAGGCCACTGTACGTTTAAAAGTAGTGTTTGGCAAATTAATGCTTAATGTCCTATGTGCTGCTACTGAAAGGTTTTCTTAAATATATATATCAAGTTTTAACCAGAGTAACCCAACAACCTCATAATGCCAACTGACAAGTGAATGCAGAGGGGCTGCTGGAATATCCTGATTCTGGTACTTATATTCTTGTTCCCCACACTGCCATAGGAGGCGTCAAATGAAAGCTGGTTCATACTGGATATCAGTATCATTGTGAAATGTACGTAAAGGTACTTGTGACGGGGCCACTCCACCGCCCCGCACTTCGGCAGCATCATCCCCGGCGTGCTGGGGAGAAGTGGCTGGGCCG